ACACTGAAATGATTAAGTATGAAAGTTATATGTACAATATGTAGAATTAGGTATAGCATTACTTTTAGAAAGTCACGTGTGTCTCAAATTGTGAAGCTATCCAAAAGAATGAAGATTATCACACGGTCAAAATTTGGTACGAACTAAACTTAAAAGGCTAATGCTCAGAATTTGAGTCTCTTTGAGGAAGGAGTGAAATCCGTTGATCCACTTAAAAGGAAAGAAGATTATTCATCTATACTTCGGAGGCTAGTACTTCGACTGGACTAGACAAGTGACCTGTTAGCAAATAGAGTTTGGACTCTTCACAACTTGAAAGTTCGTGCATATAACGTAAAAGTACTAACTATGCCTTAACGATTCGTGGGAACAAAGGTAGGGTTAGTGGACAAGTTAAGAAAGTTGGGCCAATCTGATATCAATTAGTAGAATGAAATGTATCAAGAAAAGATCTGCATGAAAGCTTAGTTGAAAAGAGTACAATTTTAAATTGTTAATAGTCTATTCAAAAGTACCACTGCAAATTAAAATAGATATAGTCACATCTACAAAGTTGATTTATCTCAATCCAAAGTTTCAGTTGTTACTTAATATGTGCATAAAATAAATAGCAGGACATGTCTGTTTTGATATAATAGTAAATAGTCTCATTTTAAAATTTCAAATTATTGAAGAGACATATATATTTTTTTAATTTAACTAATAATAGTTCACAACGTTAAAATTTGATGTTTACCCTATTTTTCATGTAGAGACAGGCTTCCTAAAATGTTTTCGAGCAAAGCAAAGCATGTGAACTTTCATAATTTTGGACAAATTTCTTCGTTCTGGGATGTCAAATGGGACTTTTTAATTTACTACAAAAATTAATTTCCATAATTTCATGGTTAGTTTGTAGTGCTCAAGGGAAGTCAAGTGGAGGCTGCTCGTCGATTCAACTCTCCCCGTACATGAGGTGAACTAGTGGGACTAGTCAAGTCGAACCAAGGTTTTTTTGAAGCAGGCCGGCTCGTGTTTGGCTTGCCTTATTTACAAGTATGAGCTGACACGTCAAGTAGGTCAAGCTGAGCCCAATATATTGGGCGACTCAAATGGCTTTCCTAGACACACTAAAAATATAGAGTTTGACTCGTCAGGTAGGTCAAGCTGAGCCCAATATATTGGGCGACTCAAATGGCTTTCCTCAACACACTTAACATATATAGAGTTTCCATTTGTTATTGACGTTATTTTTCTTAATTGTTAAAATAGTACATGACCAACTTCGTTTTATGTTAAAAAAGTGAGATTTTTCTTATTCTTTTCTCAAAATTCTAATATTCTCCGCAAATTAAGGAGTTATTGTTCTCAATTTTTTAAAGAAATTAAGAGGACACTAAAATGTTGCTCATATTTATCCTTGAAGTCTTTCTCTTTCTATATCAAGATTTCATTCAACTTCATGATTTGATTTCATTAAATTAATCATCGTAAGGGTATTATTATTTAATGATTGGAGATCATGCACTAACAAAGGAAATATTATCCCTAAAATAATTAATTAATATTCAAAAATCCTACCTAGTACTTCAAAATATCTATGCTAACTTTTTTGTACGACGCGTGGCACGAGGTTAATGTTATCAAATATTTCGTGTTTGATTCTCTCATAAAGTAAAACCAACCACATTAAATTGACAATATGATCATTATAATATTTACATTTTTTTTCATTTATAGTCGTATATTATACGTTATATCGAAATAAAATAAATGGGTATATATTTTTATAAGAAGATTTTCATAACAAAATCAACATATTAGGGTTTGGGTACTCACTACAAGGTTGACGTTCTAAGAGATTATATGATTAGAATTCAAAAAGCTTTAATGAGCAAATTTCATCAGTCAAATTTAAATGAGTATTCAGATTTCAGAATTGGTGTTCTTAAACAAACCTATATGGTTGTTAGGGGTGGAACTCGAGATTCTTAATTAAACGAAAAACATATAAGGTTTAGGCTCCTCCTCCTAAACGGTTAACCTTTTAGATAAATTTCAAAATTAATATATATGGTACCAAAACCTAATTAAGAAAGTTAAAACTAGAGTTTGATTATTTTAAAATTCAAATTAGTATTCCTATTCTGAGGTTGACATTTTCAAACGAGTTTCTATCTTGCAAGCACAGATATGTTAAAAGTAAAATTTCATATTATTTAAATATAAAATAATAAACAATTATAATGATTTTAGCTACTATAACTATACATATCTCGCAGCATGGTCGGAAAATATGAAAGTAAGGATGCCAATAACTTTTTCACAATAAAATAAATAATTATTTAAAGTGAGTTTTAGAAGGTCCCCACGTACGGAAATATGAAACCTAAAATTTGGAGATTTTCAATCTCGCTTTCTACATTTCTAATCATTAATAGAACTGTTGCAATGGCAAGACAAGAAAAATTATAGAGAAGTAAACGAATTAAATATACTAAAATTACTATAAGGCATTTGTGTTCAAACGAAACACATGATTAGAAAGTGATAAATTTCGTGTTGATATATAGAAGATCCCACGTATAATATAAAATCTAAAGTAGAAGGTATAGAAGTGTTTTAATACAATATTGCTTCTATTGAAATGGACAAGTCGAGAGAAATAATCGACTTGAATGTTTTAAGAATATTATTAGATATTTTTTGAAGGTCGAATGTGAGTAGTTGAGTAGGAGAAAAGGCGACAAATTAATATTATTTGATCAAAAGATTTATTTAAGTTAGATTGGTAAGCATTCACTAAGACATTGTATGGTGCCACATGTAATCAAATAAGTGATATTTTTGAACCCACCATTGAAAAGTTGAAAGTCAAAAAGGTGGGAGATAGAACGCAATAGCATTTGCTGATGACAGCTAATAGGGACTCTTAAGAACCCTAAATGACACTTGTCATTACATAAACTTAGGTCATGACAAATTTGTGCACTCATAGGGCAATTAGTGGAATGATTAATTAGGGTTATGATTAGGTACTATAATAATTGACAAATGGGATGTTTATAGAAACTGCCAAGGCTGAAAGGAAGTGCGTTTTGTTGCGATGTCACCTGACGATACGAATCAAGTCACGTGATCTAATTTGGAAAATGTTACTATCATTTTCGAGATCTCATTTGATTGTAGTTTAATTTCAAAGGTTGGATAACAATGAGAGAGGGTCAAGTAAGTATCGATACAAATTAACTTTTTCAATTAGAAAATTCTTAATTTCACGATCTCCTGTTTTGGTAATTCAATATTATGCAAATTCAATACGAATTTAGCAGAAAATATTTTCCTTCTTTTAGCTCACTAAAGCACACCCAATCATTTATTCATACTTGAATTATTTAGATTTTGATGGGAGTTCGCTCTCAAATAACCATGGGTGGACCCACATGGGGCACAATTTTTTTCCGTAATCTTTTCTTTCGCGACTTACTTTGACGTGCTCATTATGAAATATCAAACGAAGTCAAAATATTAAATTATTAATACCATTTCAAAGTGCTCACAGCCTAATTTTTTGCTCATTAATGGCGCATGAAATGGCTGACCACAGCAAAATTTACAACGCTTCAAATTCAGCCATTTTAAACTAGTATTTCGAGAATTGTGGTAATATGCTAACTTCAAAAATTATCCGACAATTGTACTTTAACCGAATCCACAAATCGCTTACGTCACTTAAAAGCTCGGTTCGAGACTATATCGCAATTATGTCAAATAATCTAAACGAATATCCAAAATAGTTAAACATGCATCAAACACACGTCTCTAAAAAAACTTCTAATTCGTCTTTCCTTTAAAAAAATTTAATTATTTCATTAATGTTTATTATTTTTGGACAACAAATTTTTCAATATAATTTACATCATTTTATTAGCAAAATCTACATGGAGTGTGGCGTAAAAAAAACTAAGATCGCTATAGATTAAATGTAATTTAAATTACTTTTGAATTAAATTTGAATTTCATTTACTTCCTAAATTGAATTTGAATTTTATTTCAATTTATTTACTTCCTACATTCAACTTGATTTACTCGCCGTCATCTCAACATTTATCAACGAGGTGGTAAACAATAATATACAAGTACCAAAATTCATTTGACAATATTGATAATATATAATTATATAACATTTTCAAAGTATCAAGATGTGTAGACCATAATTGTAGAAGTATATTAACTTATTTTTATTAATATTATGTTGCTTTAAAAAAATTACATTTTAATTTATGATCCCCACAGTACAAAAGCTCTAGGTCCGCCCCTGCAAATAACCAAAACTTTTTCTTATGTTATATAATTCATGATGTAAAGAAGAAATGGTAAAGATAAATCTACAATATGTTTAATAAAAATAGATTAGTCAATATTCAAAACAAAAATAAGTTAAAATTTGATCATGCAGGTTTGGTGAAATTTCAAATGGGCAATTGCTGAGGAGGTTGCAATTAGAGCACAATTTGAAGATACTTAAAGGATGTTGGGCATACTAATAAGGATATGAGTAAATTTTAAAATAAGTAATTTTTTTATTGGTGAAAATTGAAAAACTTTAAAAATAAGTATGTTATTTATTTTGATATTGATATAAAAGTTACTTATAATTTTATTTTATTTTTTTACTTAAAATGTAATAATATGCTATATCATATAAGCATTTTTGTAAAGTATTTATAAAAGATTTAAATAATAAATAGGTGAAAATGAATGGTAAATAAATTAATAGTACTTGTGTATCTTTCAAAATGTGTAGATAAAAATAATCCTAAGTAGGTAGGCAAGCTAACTTAAAATTTGTTGGAGATGCAAATTGGCAACTTTCTAGCTGTTAATTCTATTTGTGTCAATAGTTTTACTTTAATACATGCCACCTGTTACTCACTATTCATGCAGTAAAACTTTGATCCCACATCTATATATATGTGTCTGCTTCAATTTGCTAGTATGTGTCTTTAGTTGAACAATTAAAGAAATCTAGGGTATCTTAAAGATCCCTGGCATTTCATTTCCATTAGAGAGAGAAAGAGATGGCTTTGTTTTCCATGCACAATCCACTGGTTTTTACCCTGGGCATTTTAGGTATGCTTCCATATACAATCATCCTCGACTTATGGGAAAATTGCACCATTTGGTCCCAACTTATTGTCTGCATAGCAAGTTAGTCCTTGCATTTTCAAAGAAGTATATTTCATTTCAATTGGACGCACCAGGACCACATACTAATTTAATAGAGATTTGGATGGTTTCTGTAGTAAGAACTAAATGTGTAAATATAATGATAGATTGAGGGCCTACTTACTCCTTTTTAAAGCTAGTTTCGGACCAATGGTGTAATTTTTCCTAAAATTATTGTTCATAGTTGATCATAAATTTTCTTGTTGCAGGCAACCTTGTCTCCTTCATGGTATATCTTGCACCTGTGTAAGTTTTCTTAACTATCCATTTAATGTCAACTTAATTTTATAATTTAATCATCTGACTAACAAACTACATGGGATTCACATATGCTGCAGGCCAACATTTTACAGGGTTTACAAGAAAAAATCAACAGAAGGGTTTCATTCAGTCCCATATGTGATTGCATTATTCAGTTCCATGGTGTGGATATATTATGCATGGGTTAAATCCAACGAATTCCTCCTCATCACTATCAATTCCGTCGGGTGTATCACGGAGTCTATTTATGTTGCTATTTACATCGTTTATGCGCATAAGAAAGCAAGGGTATGTATTCTGACATATTTAGTACATTGAACTCGGTTCAAAAATCCACTTAACGTGCACAATTTTCGTCAATGAGTGCGCTTACGAGAATTGAATTCAACACCTTTATTTTCCTATGATACTATATATGTTGAATCACGTCATCTAAAAGTTAACATGTTGGAGAGACGAGCAAAAAAAGGAACCCATGCATCTTGTGTCTCTCTAACTATTTGAGTCGAGTATATTAAACATGCCACCTTCGTTCGTGGATTTTTGGTTCTTAACATGAGTTGGCTCATGATCTTTCTGTATTTGCCTTGTAGATACTGACTTTGAAGCTTCTGCTGCTATTGAACTTCGGCGGATTCGGGTTGATTCTTATTCTCTCCCACTTCCTTACAAAC